CACACACATATTACTTAAAGTATTTTAAAGGGTATTACATATATGTCCCTTTTTTCCCCCACCCTTGACAATACCTGGCCTCCTCTACCCCCCAGTGTCTTATGTCTATTGGTTATGCTTAATACATGCAAAGAAGTCCAAGCCTCCCCTACCCCCCTGAAGATTGTTGTTGTTTTTTGGTTGGTTTTTTTTTCTTTGCTTTAATCTAAGTCAACAGTAGCCAATATTTGTATTGTTTTATTTTGCTTTATCTCCTTCTACTGATGCTTGTTTAAATATTTGAGGAAGTGAGATGGCTTCGGTAGAGAGAGAGAGAGAGAGAGAGAGAGAAAGATCCGTGTAAGGGAGAAACATCCATCGACTGACTTCTGCACACAAGGTAACTGTAAATGGAACCCATATACTGACATGTGCCTTGACTGGGAATTGAATACTCGAAGCTTTGGTACACAGCATGATGCTCCAACCAACTGAGCCATACTGGCCAAGGCATTATGTGGTTTTTAAACAAAAATTTCTAGTGTTCTTTTAAGGACAGGCCACTTTGGTCAATGATAGCAAAAGCACAGGGGCTGCTGGAGGTAATTCTGACCCTTGTTTTTTACTGTACGTATTTTCAAATATGTTTATTCACCCAGTCTTTTCTGGTCATTTTTTCTGTACACTTCTTTATTTGTGTCTGTTATACTGTCTTCATGTTACTCTTACTCCTATTTCATATGGGGTTTTTGTTCATGAGCAGCTGTCTACTTACACTGGGCTCGGGGGAGATGGTCATATCTCTAATTCTGCATTCTTTCGGATGTCACTTACATAGATGGGTTTTTTTTTTGTTGTTTTTTTTTAATATATTTTATTGATTTTTCACAGAGAGGAAAGGGAGAGAGATAGAGAGAGTTAGAAACATCGATGAGTGAGAAACATCAATCAGCTGCCTCCTGCACATCCCCCACCGGGAATATACCCAGGTACATGCCCCTGAGCGGAATTGAACCCAGGACCTCTCAGTCCGCAGGCTGACGCTCTATCCACTGAGCCAAACCGGTCTCGGCATAGATGGGTTTTTAAAAAATATATTCTTAGTGATTTGAGCAAGGAAGGGAGATATGGAAACATCAATGATGAGAGGAATCATCGATCGGCTGCCTCCTACACACCACCTCCTGGGGATGAAGCCTGCAACCCCGGCACATGCCCTGGCCAGAATTGTACCTAGGACCCTTCAGTCCACAGGGAGATGCTCCATCCACTGAGCCAAGCCAGCAAGGGCTCAAATAGGTCATTTTTCTGTTGTCTCATTTGTCCTTTGTTGTTCTACCACAATGTTGATCATCCACCTTTTTTGTTTTTCTCTGAAGATTTGCATCATTTATCCCACAGAATGGGTCAAGTGGGATTTAAGGAGAAGAATCCTTTGTGCATCACAGAAAAAACATGATTTTGTTTATTTATTTTTAAATGTATTTTATTGAATTTTTTACACAGAGGAAGGAAGAGGGATAGGGAGTTAGAAACATCAATGAGAGAGAAACATCAATCAGCTCCCTCCTACACAACCCCTACTGGGAATGTGCCTACAACCAAGATACATGCCCTTGACTGGAATTGAACCTAGGACCCTTCAGTCCACAGGCCGACGTTATATTCACAGGGGCAAGCCGGGTATGGCGAAACAGTGCTTTATTCATGACACAGTGGTGTCACAGGTGGTCTTCCTTTGGAGAAGGGTCATTGGGGATGAGTTCTTGGCTAGCCTTTGTTACATTCAAATCTAGAAACCCAGTGTTTGTTTGTTTGCTTGCTTGCTTGCTTGCTTTCTTTCTTTCTTTCTTTCTTCCTTCCTTCTGTAAGCAACCAAAATGTCCCCTAAAAGTTGAGTGGATACACAAACTGTGGTGCATCTGTACAATGAAATATTCATCAATAAAAAGAGAAAATAGAGAAAAATCAAACTAGGAATGGGAATACCAAGAAGCAAGACCTCCCCACATTGATATGAGCCCTTCAGCCAAGAAAGGAATGGAAGAAACTTAAATATATATCGCTTAGTAAAAAGAGCCCTTCTGAAAAGTGTATATACTGTATGATTCCAGCAACATTACATTGTGGAAAAGGGAAAACTATACAGAGAATAAAAAGCTTAGTAGTTGCCACAGGCTTGGAGTACAGAGGGAAGGATACATTGGTCCAGCACAGGGGAATTTTATTTATATATTTATGTTTTTTAAGTTTTTGGCAAGTTTTATTAATTTTTTAATTAAATCTTTATTGTTCAGATTGTTACATGTGTTCCTCTTTTTTTCCCCCATAACTCCCCTCCACCCTGTTCCCACCCCACCCTCTGCCGTTACCCCTGCCACCCACGGTTCCCATCCATAGGTGTACAATTTTTGTCCAGTCTCTTCCCACACCCCCCACACCCCTTTCCTCCCCAAGAATAGTCAGTCCAGTCCATTTCTATGCCCCTGAATCTATTATATTCAGCAGTTTATTCTGTTCATCAGATTATTTATTCACTTGATTTTTAGATTCACTTGTTGGTAGATGTGTATTTGTTGTTCATAATTTGTATCTTTACCTTTTTCTTCTTCTTCCTCTTCTTAAAGGATACCTTTCAGCATTTCATATAATACTGGTTTGGTGGTGATGAACTCCTTTAGCTTTTTCTTATATGTGAAGCTCTTTATCTGACCTTCAATTCCTAATGATAGCTTTGCTGTGTAAAGTAATCTTGGTTGTAGGTTCTTGCTATTCATCCCTGTGAATATTTCTTGCCACTCCCTTCTGGCCTGCATAGTTTCTGTTGAGGAATTAGCTGACAGTTGTATGGGTACTCCCTTGTAGGTAACTGATTGTTTTTCTCTTGCTGCTTTTAAGATTCTCTCTTTGTCTTTTGCTCTTGGCATTTTAATGATGATGTGTCTTGGTGTAGTCCTTTTTGGATTCCTTTTGTTTGGGGTTCTCTGCGCTTCCTGGACTTGTAAGTCTATTTCTTTGACCAGGTAGGGGAAATTTTCTGTTAGTATATCTTCAAATAGGTTTTCAATATCTTGCTCTCTCTCTTCTTCTGGCACCCCCATAATTTGGATGTTGGTACGTTTGAAGTTGTCTCAGAGGCTCCTTACACTATCTTCATATTTTTGCATTCTATTTTCTTTTTTTTTTTTTTTTTTAATATATTTTATTGATTTTTCACAGAGAGGAAGGGAGCGGGATAGAGAGTTAGAAACATCGATGGGAGAGAAACATCGATCAGTTGCCTCTTGCACATCTCCTACTGGGGATGTGCCCGCAACCAAGGTACATGCCCTTGGCCGGAATCGAACCTGGGACCTTTCAGTCCACAGGCTGACGCTCTATCCACTGAGCCAAACCGGTTAGGGCAGCATTCTATTTTCTTTTTGTATTTCCGGTTGGGTGATTTTTGCTTCTTCGTATTTCAAATCTTTGACTTTATTCTTGCAATCCTCTAGTCTGCTGTTGGAAGTCTTCATAATATCCTTTATTTTAGTCAGTGTATGCTTAATTTCTAGTTCGTACTTTTTCATAACCTTGAGGGTCTCACTAGATTTCTTGAGGGTCTCACTAAATTTATCGGAGCTCTCACTAGATTTCTTGAGGGTCTCACTAAATTTATCGGCGGTTTCTAGAAAATTCTTGAAAAACTTTTAAAAGTGTGGTTTTGACCTCTATATCCAGTAGTTTGCTTTCCTCTATTTCTTTCATATGTTACCTTTTTCTTGGCTCCACATTATTTATGCTTCCTTGTGTTGATAGAGTGGCTTTCTGTGTTAGGTGTACTACAGGGCCCAGTGGCTCAGCCTCTGCAATTGGTCTTGGTGCACCCCTTTGTGGACTTTGTGCAGTCTTTTTGTAGTTAAGCCTTGATTGTAGTTGGTATCACTGGGAGGAATTGACCTCCAGGCCAATTGGCTGTGAGAATCAGCTGTGTCTGCAGTGGGAGAACTTCTGTGCTGGAGACACTCTTCTGGGGTAAGACTTGCTTCAGTGGGGCTTTGGTGCTCACTGATTCTGCCCACTGAGTGTGTCCCTTATGGATCTGAGGAGTTGTAATCTCGATTGTCCCCCTCTGACCAGTGGGTCCATTAGATCTTGGATTTCTAAGGAGGTGCTAATTTAGCCTCTGTCTGAGGCTATTCAGCAGGAGCTACAGAGAGATCTGCAGATTCCTCTTCTTTGTTTTGGGTTTGGACGTGCCCAGAACAGGCCCAGCTGTGAAGCAATGCAAGGTGCTGTGGGGCCTTGGGCCTTCTTTTGGAAGTTCTGGTTCTCTCTGACCCAGGTGCAGTTTGTTAGGTAATTTCCAGA